GGGGGGGGTCGCTCCTCGCTGCGGACACCGGGGGTGACTTTGAGACGGGGTCGGGCACCGGGTGGAGGTCTCACCTTTGCCGAAGGAGCGGGGGGGTAAATCCCGGCGCCTCTCACCGCATCGGGAATAAACCCAGGGATTCTCCCCGCAGCCTCCTCTGCCCCCGCCTATAACGCTTAACGCTGCGGGGTTTGCTCAGGCTCTGACTCCCCCAGGGTCCCGCTCCGGCTGTCACTGCACGGGCAAATCTCACTCCCTCTGCCCGGTGATATTTTTTCTAGCCCTCTTTTCCAGACTTCTGCATGCATTAACGCTGCATTTTTATTTTTACTGCTGTTCTTTGCTGTGTGCTGCAGAGCACAGAGGATTCATGTAGAAATAAAATAGCAGAACGGCCCGTTTTGCCGCTGGCACGAGATCTGATTGATGTCTCTGAGCCGTAACTTTGAAAGAAGCCCCCTCCCTCATGTGTGTTTTTTGGGACCCCCCTGCCTCCCTGGCCGAGGCTGGGGAGAGGAGAGCTTTCTGTGCAGGGACACGCAGCCAGCCTGTGTGACTAATTAATTCTTCTTTCTGCCCGCATCTTTCCTTCCGTGCCCATCCTTTCCTCCTGCCCCCTCTGCCTGAATCCCTTCCTGCAATTCCAGGTGTGCACCGGGGGTGACTTTGAGACGGGGTCGGGCACCGGGTGGAGGTCTCACCTTTGCCGAAGGAGCGGGGGGGTAAATCCCGGCGCCTCTCACCGCATCGGGAATAAACCCAGGGATTCTCCCCGCAGCCTCCTCTGCCCCCGCCTATAACGCTTAACGCTGCGGGGTTTGCTCACTCTCTGCCTCCCCCAGGGTCCCGCTCCGGCTGTCACTGCACAGGGAAATCTCACTCCCTCTGCCCGGTGATATTTTTCCTAGCCCTCTTTTCCAGACTTCTGCATGTATTAACGCTGCTTTTTTATTATTATTTTTTTTTACTGCTGTTCTTTGCTGTGTGCTGCAGAGCACAGAGGATTCATGTAGAAATAAAATAGCAGAACGGCCCGTTTTGCTGCTGGCACGAGCTCTGATTGATGCCTCTGAGCCGTAACTTTGAAAGAAGCCCCCTCCCTCATGTGTGTTTTTTGGGACCCCCCTGCCTCCCTGGCCGAGGCTGGGGAGAGGAGAGCTTTCTGTGCAGGGACACGCAGCCAGCCCGTGTGACTAATTAATTCTTCTTCTGCCCACATCTTTCCTTCCGTGCCCATCCTTTCCTCCTGCCCCATCTGCCTGAATCCCTTCCTGCAATTCCAGGTGTGACTTGCTCCCTCAATTCACTGCCTCCCCTGTTTTTTAATGCCTTGACTTTCCACTTGGAGAGGAAGAGGATTTTGCTGCTCTCTCCGGCTGTTTTCCACCTTCCCTCTGTTTTCTGGAGGTGGTATCTGAGGTCTCCATGGCTGTTATTAATTCTGTGTGCACCTGAGAGCCAGGAGAGCACTCCTGCTCCAGCACTGGCTCTTTGCCTTGTTTCCTGCTGCCAAATGCCATTAGGAGTTAAAACTACATGAATACTTTCTGAAGTTGGCAACTACTGCAGTAAATCTCACTCCCTCTGCCCGGTGATATTTTTTCTAGCCCTCTTTTCCAGACTTCTGCATGCATTAACGCTGCATTTTTATTTTTACTGCTGTTCTTTGCTGTGTGCTGCAGAGCACAGAGGATTCATGTAGAAATAAAATAGCAGAACGGCCCGTTTTGCCGCTGGCACGAGATCTGATTGATGTCTCTGAGCCGTAACTTTGAAAGAAGCCCCCTCCCTCATGTGTGTTTTTTGGGACCCCCCTGCCTCCCTGGCCGAGGCTGGGGAGAGGAGAGCTTTCTGTGCAGGGACACGCAGCCAGCCTGTGTGACTAATTAATTCTTCTTTCTGCCCGCATCTTTCCTTCCGTGCCCATCCTTTCCTCCTGCCCCCTCTGCCTGAATCCCTTCCTGCAATTCCAGGTGTGACTTGCTCCCTCAATTCACTGCCTCCCCTGGTTTTTAACGCCTTGACTTTCCACTCTGAGAGGAAGAGGATTTTGCTGCTCTCTCCGGCTGTTTTCCACCTTCCCTCTGTTTTCTGGAGGTGGTATCTGAGGTCTCCATGGCTGTTATTAATTCTGTGTGCACCTGAGAGCCAGGAGAGCACTCCTGCTCCAGCACTGGCTCTTTGCCTTGTTTCCTGCTGCCAAATGCCATTAGGAGTTAAAACTACATGAATACTTTCTGAAGTTGGCAACTACTGCAGTACCTACAGGCATATTTTGTGATTGGGGAAAAAAAAAAAAAAAAAAAAGAAGAGATGAATGCCATAATTGTAAATGGGAGAGGTACTGGATGAAATACCCTGTTAGAAAGTGATCCCCACTATAAAAAGTGGCTGTTTGCCACCTTCTGCTGATAATCCTGCAATTCATCCTCTTGTTTTAGGAGTCACTTCTTGGGGTGCTGCTTCTGCAATTCTTCTTTTTAATCAGTTGTTGGAAATCTTCCTGTTTCTGTGTTTGAATTCTCCTCTGCTGTATGAAAAACTCCTACTGATGTCTGCTGCTGCCTGTAACTTTTCTTCCTCTTCTTCTGTCTACATTTCTTCATCTCTAGGACTTCCCCTTGTTGGTGTTTCTCTTTTTCCTCATTTTTTCTGCTCTGAAGTTTCCACCTGGATATTTTGCTTCAGTATGCTGTGCTTTGTGATGGCTGACCAGGTGATTTCACAGTGCTGGTCAACAGATACTGCTCTTGTGTTTAAAAAAAAAAAAGGCATTATTTATGAGTTATACATCTGTTCAATGGTAAGTCTGTCTTTTACTGTGTTGGAGGTTGGTGGTGACTTTGAAAGTACATTTTTGTAAACTCCCAGTGATTTTTTGAACTAACAAGGGGCTTCCTGAGGGTGATGTCACAGATGTGATCAAGAGCCCTTTCAATAACTGAATTTTGTTAACCAGAAGGATTAACAGTCTCTAACAAATCTCTGTAAAACTGTCAGCTAAATCTCATGGAGGATCTAGCCCTGATAGATTATTGTTGATGTGTTTATAAGCAGGTACAAAAGTTTAACACAAACTTATCTGGATACAATTACATCTGTATGCAGGTAGAGCATTATACAAATGTAAGTTCTGACACGATTTCTGCATGTTTCTGTCCTAACTCACAAATACATATAATATGCACGCACGTGCTACAAACAGCTGCTCAAACTTAGGTCATCTTGTCAGAAGACATGCCCCTTGGTCTCCAGGTTCTGACATCCCTTCTGACCATGTCTCTTCACAGATGTGGATGAGTGTGCCCTGGGGCTTGATGACTGCCACCCCGATGCTATTTGTCAAAACACCCCGAAGCTGTACAAGTGCATGTGCAAAGTGGGTTACACTGGTGAAGGGAAGAAATGTGAAGGTAAAGTGACTGAAGCACTGTGGCTCTGCCTGTGTCAGCGTGAGGTATTTCTGAGAAGACAGAGCCAATAAAAATAATGGTCTAGAGTACGGAGGGTGATTTTTTGATCAAAGTAGTCGTTGTTTCTTCACCTGTTTTTTCTTCTAGTTTACAAAATCAGAGGCAAACTCATTGCATGGCTTTTCACCTAGTAATGTCACTTGATGTAATAATTAGTTTGTTGTTTAACCAGCAGTATGAAAACTGTGAGATAAAGCTCATGGGAATCTTAGGGCATTTTGTCACTCTAGAAACATTCAACAAGTAATGCGTCAAGTATAGTCTATTTGCAAGACAATGATTGTTTTGGACAGCAGTTGCTGCTCACGTTTAGGGAGTTGTATCTCTGTCTATAACACTCAGGCAAGCATCCATCATATTGACTTCTGCTTTATTCCTCAGACATTGATGAATGTGATAATGACTTCAATGGAGGCTGCGTCCACGAGTGTTTCAACATCCCAGGGAATTACCGCTGTACTTGCTATGATGGCTTTATGTTGGCTCATGATGGCCATAACTGCCTGGGTAAGAAGTGTGTTCATGACCATTGTGAGTGGTGATGCTAACCTAACCCTTTAGCTACATCCATGGCAAATGCACGATGATCTGTTGGGCTGAATCAGCTCAGCTAGAAAAAAATACTAAATACGGGACTAAGGAATTCCAGGTACTGATGCACTATCTGTAAAGGAGAAGGATCTCTGTTGGGCTGAATCAGCTCAGCTAGAAAAGAATACTAAATATGGGACTAAGGAATTCCAGGTACTGATGATCCCAGTGTGACTCTTGCCCTGTCTGTAAAGGAGAAGGGTAATTGTCCTACATTTCTGTTAAGTGTTTTGGTTTAAACTGTGCCATCTATTATTAGGCTAAATGAATTAGTGTAAAATGACATGTGCTATCATTGTCTTTTTGATTCCAAAATTAGTTTAGGATCAGTTCTCAGGTGTAGTTCCAGGCTTAGAGATCTTTTTTTTCTTCATACCATCAGTAAGGTGTGGGCTTCTCACTCTTGCTGTGTCTGAGTACCTCCTGACATGCAAGGTGTTGGGAAAGAACAATTAGCAGTGTGCAGTAGCTGTATATTTTGGAGGCCATTGAAGTACAGAGGGACTAAGCCAAACGCTTGGAATTTCCCTTGGTGGTTTGTGTGAAGCAAAATACGCAAATCTGGCAATGCATTCAATCCTGGCAACACTCCCGTGACCACGCATTCTCTCTCATCCTCTTTTTTTTTTTTAATTTAACATCTCCGTAGTCTCCTTTTTGTGTGCCAGCAGGTGAAAATCTTTAAAAATGGGTAACAACACCTTGTGGGTTTAGTGTGATAGTGTTTTCCAGCAGGCAGTGCAGCGGTGCACAGAAATGCAGTTGCCACCAGCCTATTGGCAGTGTGGGATGCTGCTGGGGCTACTTGCCTGGGACAGAGCCTCACGTTGATGAAGCTGTCCCGCTTCCAGGACCCACGCTGTGTGGCTCTGTCCCCCACTGTGGTACCTGTCCCTTTTACTTTTTCAGAGATGGCTCAGTTATTCTGTTCTGCTGCACTGAGTGTGGATGTGCCTGGGCAGGCTTCCATGCCCATGTCCATCAGGGAAACTTGCTCTCGCAGTATAATTTTAGCATAATGAGGTTAGCTTGGCTAGGGTATTTCCTGGTGTATCAGGAGGGGGATCAGACCATCACTGGGCTGTATCTTCTGCTGGGACAAATTGCAGAAGCTCTGGAGTCTTCAGTGGGATTGTGTTGGGTTTCACCTGCTGGGATCCTGTTGCTTTGCCCACCTATTAACTTTATTATGGTCTAAGTGGAGGAGAGGAGGAAGTCACTAATTTCCACTAAAGAAAGTAGGGTGGCAAGCATAATATCTGCTGATACTTTAAAATAATAGGGAGACCATCTTACTCTTCTCTAGTGCATTTGTGTAAACACACAGTGGAGTTCAGTTGAGGTTACCATGAAGGGCTGAATGTCAAGGAACACATTGCCTGCTAGAATGCCACCAAAGAGAATATTTTTTTTGTATCCAGTAGCCCCTCTAAAGCATAGTTCAGCTGACTTGTTTGTGATCAGTAAGACCTAGACATGGACCAAAATCTACCACCTGCTATGTTACTGGGAAGCTGGTCAGTATTGCACGGCAGACTTTTTAAAATAAAATAAAATGTCATTGATGCACAATGAAGTTTTTACCACTGACCTGCCAATTTTGAGATGTGATGTAAATGTTAAATAAATATTTTGGCATGCAGCAAATTGGATCACATCTTCTCTTAATCTGTTTATTTACTTTGTTCACGGCAGGGTTGCCCTCCTCTCACCCTTATTTTTGAAGATCTTGTCTGTGTGTCTGGGTTTAAGCCAAATAGACAATTACTTGTTGGAAAGAGATGATTTTTTTGAAAGCTTTCCAAGGTCTGTGAGACAGAAACATCTGCTGGAGTTCAAATCTGTAGTACTAAAGGCTCGTGGTGGCTGTTTATTCATGATTGTTTGCACATTCACATCACTGTAGGACTCTAAAATACTCAGCTTCTCTGTGATGGAGATATGTCAGCCGCTCTCTTTGCTGCAGCAGGTCACATTCTTTTGCATCCAATTGGCTTACTCATTCCCTTCAGTAGAAATTAAATCTGTTGTAATACTATGTTATGCTTCTTACTAAAAGCCTTTCTCTTTCTCCTTTTTCTAGAAAGACAGCTGGTTTATGCCAGAAATGCTACAATGTTAAATTAAAAACATTGTACTATTAGCCCAGGAACAATGAACAGAACAGGGAGCAAACATGATGTTCCATATGAATTTTACAAATGAGACCAGTGCTTTGCCTCAGCAACATTTTGTCCTAGTTTTTAAGGGACTGAGCATTTTTACGTCTTGTTCAAATTGGCATTTCTGAAAATTAGGGTAGGAAAATTCTTTGCTGGTAGTGATTACAAAAACCTGTACTTCTTAAGGGGTAAAATTCCCAAGGATTGGAGGTTGGGATGAGCATCCTGTTGTTCAGAGGCTTAGCCGATGTTTTTCTGCTCTTTATTTCTCTTAGTTATCTCGCAAGCAGAGCTTTTATATATGTTTTTTATATGTTTTCTGTTTTGTTATTGTTGAAGCTCTGGATATTGCAAAATCAGCATTAAAAATATTTCCAGAACTTGTGGTGTTGTCCTTGACTGCAGTCAGGCAACACAGCAGCAGCCTTAATGGTAAGTGGTGATGTCCTAGAGTTGGAGGAGGAGGACAATAAATCAAACTGAGCATCAGAACAGACATAATGTGTGAATTCTAGCTAGAGTGCATGTAAGGAGTAGCGGATAGGTTTTAAGCTAAATTTATTTTGAGGTTTGTATTTTTCTTGTTCTGCCTGTGCTTTGGAATGGGGAGCTTTCTGGAAAAACCTCCCCAAGGGTGACAGCACAGCAACAACAGGCTAGCCTGGGGTGTCTGAGCTGCCTGGGTGGTTACGTGCCAAGTCAATGTCTGTCTGTGCTGCACGTTGAGTGGCTGCCACCAATATGAGCGTATTGGTGTTAGTACAAAGCTGATCTCTCTCTCTGTCTCTCAATTTCAGATACAGATGAATGCATGTTCAACAACGGTGGCTGCCAGCACGTGTGTGTCAACACTGTGGGAAGCTATGAATGCCGCTGCAAGGAAGGGTTCTTTCTGAGTGATAACCAGCACACGTGCATCCACCGCTCAGAAGGTACTGGCTGCTTCCCTCCAGGCACCAAGCAGGAGTTTTTGACACAAGCTAACTGCAAAAAATCTCTAAAACCGTTTCAAAAGTATTTTCGGGTTGAGTGTTTCAAAGCTGTGAAGAGTCTTGAAGTCCTTTCTCCTTTTTTAAAAGGAACAGCGTGTCAGAGTCTTCTAAGTGACTTTGAAGACTCTTCACATCCTTTCTGCCCCTTTGATCCCACCTTTATGTCTACAGTGTTGTGCTTGTTGAAGGCTGTGCTGCTGTATCCCAGTGTACTTTATGCTCTCTTGTGCAGCCAGGCTGTGTTCTGATCCAGGGAATGCCATCAAATTGAAGGACAGTGACTTTCTGACCATTTCCATTGGCTTTAGTTACAGGACAATACCTGTGTTACCTTCAGGTACCTTTTAGATTCCCTTTTACAGTGTTTAGGTTTCAGCTCAAGAGATTTATTGTTTGTCAGCCCCAAAGGCATTTAAATCGCGTTCTTTGTTTTGAGTGAAACCTTTATGAAGCAACCTTTGAGAGATCAGAGAGCCTTGGATATCTAATTAGACATCAGATTGAACAAAATTATTTTGGATGCCTTTAGGGAATACTTTAAAGTGGTTGCTCAAATCGGGGAGTTGTACAGTGAATATCTTACTGAGAAGTATTTAAAGCTGTGAAGCTTTCTTTAATCTAAGGCTTATCGTTGGCATGACTATAAGAGGAATCCGAGCATGAATAAACAAATCTCACTTTAAAAATCCCCATAGCGAAGAGATCAACATTTGTAGACATATATGGCCATCCACAGACGAGCGTGCTGAGGTGGCTGCCATCTGACATAGCTGAACTGACCTTTTGTTTGAATTCAGAATTTGTGTTCTCAGCTTTGCTGGTGCGGGGCTTGGTACCTCGCAGGGTTCTGCTGAGGCATGGTGATTTCTCAGGCCATGGCTCAGCTGGTGACTGCAGGAGCTGAGGTGGGAGTAGGGACCAGCAGGAAGGTTGCAGTGGTGGGGCAGGGTGCTCTCCTTCATGTTGCCTTGCTAGCAGTGGGGTGTGTGTGTGTGCATGGATGATGAATCTAATGATCAAAATCAGTTGCTTAAACTCCTTGTCTCACCCGACGCCAAGGGAGGAAAACCTTCCAACTCTTTTTATTATTTGCTGCTGCCAAGGGAGGAAAACCTTCCAACTCTTTTTACTGTTATTTGCTGCTACTTGAGTACATTCTACTTTCCTGCACTAACAACAGCATTTCCTGTCATTAATATTTGCTCCCTAAATTGTACCTTTGGAATTCTACCTTTGTTGTTATTTTTAAAGATGCAGTTAATTTCTTTTAACGTTTTCCATAATAACAAATTTCTACTTAATTTAGTGGTTTTTTTTTCTTTGAACAGGAAAAGCAAGAGGAAAAAAGTGTATTTTCTCCTGCAAAAGACTAAATTAGATATATTTTTATGGATACCAGTCTTAAGAAAAAAGCCCTTACTGTATTGCCTGAAATGCTTTCTTCATATCAAAACCCAGAATTGTTTGTTTTGGTTTTTTGAAGAGCCCTTTTTTCAGGTTATCGTGCTGTGACTGTTTCCCTTCTGCCTCCCTTTTCATTACTGTGAAGAAGTGCTCTGTGGGATTCCCCACTTTTTTTTTTTCCCTTGGGTGGGCATGTCTGTTGTAAGCCAAATCTCATTGCTTTATCTTTCCCTTCAGCTTGTTCTCCGCTTTTCTGTGTATTGCAAGGTCTTCCATTCTCTGCTTTGTTTATGCATCTCTCAGTGTATAGTTCTCTTTTGAGACCTCACAGCATTGATCTAAACAGCTTTTGGTACTTACTGCCTAGACCATCTATTCAGTTTTGCTTCTTTTCTGTAATATAAGGGAGTATTTCCTTCCATGTCTAGCAGCCTCGTTAAGACAGTGCACATGTTAATGCTTGAGACACCTTCTTAAATCTCTGCAATTCTGGCCTTTACATACACAGAAAAAGAGTGAACTGGAATTGAGGCAGGAGAAAGAGAGGCTTGGTGCCACCGTAGTCCTCTTGATGACCACCATAACAGGGCATCCTAAAGCTCATTTGCCCTTCCAAGTCTATCTGCAATTATCCTCTAGGTTCCCTGTCACCTGCTGTGACATAGGACTCAAGGTCTGGTAGTTATTTGAGGAGAGTTTGATAATTAAAGTTGATTTTTCATCTGATATGATTGTGTTGTTACGAAGCACAGGGGAGCTCTGAGGGGCTTGATGGCTCTACCTGGGCCCTGCTTAAACCACAGGAAATTGGAGTGTCTTAAGAAGTTGTGCACAATCTGATTTTTTTCCTTGGCTGTCTCCTCTGAATGAGCTCTTCTTTATCTCTATGTGGGAGAATGGATTTCCTTTGGGAGGCTGTTACAATGGCTGTGCACATGCAGCTTGTTTCCATGTTTAACCTGCTCTATATTAGGGAATACAAAAGTTTGAAGGAAAACAAGAGTTTTTCACAAGTAAATATGTAGTACATTCTGTGGCTGCTATTGCTATGGATGAGAGATCTTGCTACTCTCCCTTGTGGTATTTCACAGTCATAGCTGTCTGCTTGTTGGGCTGAATCGATGGGAGTGAATTGAACCTGCAAGAGCTGTCTGCTTGTTGGGCTGAATCGATGGGAGTGAATTGGACCTGCAAGATGAAAGCCCCATTTGAAATCACTGTCTGGACTGAAAGCTGGTACACAGGGCACCATCTCAGCTGTTGCTATTAAAGCCCTTCTGACTGTGGGGAGCAGTGATAACTAGAAAGCTTTTTGGAAAAAAGTTGCCTTGACACATGGGTGTAGAAAGCATGAAAAAAAGACTAGGTTGTTCCTTTTCTGCTGGCTGTGCTGAAGCTTCTCACCATTTGGCTCTTAGAGGGTGCCTCTGAGAAACTCTGGTACTTCTTTGTAAAATTACATTGTCTCCCACTGTCCTATTGAGTGTCTGTTTGAGTGTGCCCTAAATAGAGCCTTAGTGTTTAGCAGGCTGCTGGTGGTGTCTCTACATCTTCTGTGTAAACAAGACAAAGGTTTAAACACAGATCACACACAGAAGATAATAATTTAATGTGATCTGGTAGTACTGTGCTGGTCTTTTGCCTGTGTCTTGCCAGTGACAACCTCAGATCTCCCTGAGGTTTTCTGAGTAACGTCATGAAGGTCCAGTCACCTGAAAGGAATGATCTGGCCTGGGGTCTGTTAGGCCTGGCAGGCAGTGGACTTTTGGTTGTGGGTGTGATGGATTCCATCCCAGGACACTTGTGTGTCAGTAGGGCAAGGTCTCCTGCAAGAGAAGTTGTGTGTCTGGGAAGCACGTGGTGGGATTTGACCAAAATGAGTTTGGTGTTTGGTTCTGGACCACAATGAGCCATTGCAACGGCTCTGGAACAATGTAACCTGGGAAACTTTGTGTCCATGAAGGTGTTTGCAGTCTCACAGCGTTTATGGTTTTACGGACAAGTCTTTAATACAACTTGATACAATGGAGCTGAGTAGAAAACTTCTACCACCTTTGGAAACAAGCAGTAGCTTCACAGTAATTGTTAGAGTGTGTGGATGCATGTATCTTCTGTGAAACACAGCCTTTTGGGCAGCTAGATTTTGGTGGGTTCGGCCGATGTGTGGATGCATGTATCTTCTGTGAAACATAGCCTTTTGGGTCAGCTAGATTTTGGTGGGTTCGATCATGTACCTTGTTACAGAATGGGTATTTTGTTATTAAAATGTGACCCGGTTTGGGAAGTGCAGTTTTAGCTTTCTGTGGAAACCTGATTCAATTCTGCTGACTTGGAACGGAGCAATCCCAAATTGAGCATTTAAACCAATTGTCTGATGTCAGTGAACTTTACCAAAGTAGCTGCTTGAACAGTTTCCCCTTTGGTCGCTCAACAGGGAGAAAAAAAATAACTTTGTTAAGAGAATTAGCAGCTTAGTTTCTGTTAATGCTTTCTAAGGCCTCTGAGCTAACAGACCAAATCACGCTGTGTGCTTAAGAAGAGAAATGTCACAAAAACACAAGAGTTAATGAGGCTAATTTGTGTCCTCATGGGTTGTCCTGTTCCTTGACTGACAGCACAATAGTGGGTGACAGCTTTCATGTGGTGTCCTTAGGCTGTGTCTGTGTGCTGCAGGGTTTGAAGTGTCATTGTCTTGTTAGACTTCTACAGAGTTCCCACTGTGGGAAAGGGATCAAAAAGCCAGTAGAGCAGAATAATCTAAGCTCTGCAGTATCCATCCTTTAGTTGCTTAAAGCTGTCTTGATAGAGAAGGGGTACTGTAGCTTGTGCTTCGGATGGTGAGAATAGCCATGTGCAGAGCAAAGACCTAATTGAAGTGTAGTGGAATCATGGTGAAGAGCTGAACTCTGCCTGCCAATACAGTGGTTTTGTTTCATTTGGTAATAAGGCTGCAAAAAAGGGCTGTGTAAGCTTAAAAGATATATAGGGTGTGGATTTGTTCATGCGACCCCATACATGAACAGGGTCACCGTTTTGATTCTCCCTCTAATCGTGCATCTGCTCAACTCCAGTAGAAGCCCACAGAGGTAATGTGGGATAAGCCTTTGCAACCAAAGGATGTTACACTCAGTCTTCTCAAATGAAGTGCTCTCACCAAGAAAAAAGAGCATTTGGTGTAACATGCCGTTTAAAAGCCACATGCACCAAGCCAGAGAATTTGATGGCAAAGGTGAGTTCTTCTCTGTCAATTTCGTAGCACTAGAGAAGACTTCAGCAAAAATCTGTGGTGTACTGCTAGAAGGAAATCTATTCTTTTAATTTGGTTTAATGATCCCATTTGATAACTCGGCCAGTTGCTGTGTAGTTTTAAGTTGTGTGTGTACAAATTGTGTTGCTGTCTTGCTAATGGCAAAGGCATTGATTTAGCTGAACCATGGGGTCGGGTGAAAGCACGTTTTTACAATAATTTTAGGAACAATTCCTCTCTGTTGAATCAACTCTAACTTTTTGCAAAGGCCAGACAAGACGCTGGCAGCCATCGAGGCATGAACAGCTTGTAACTGTCAGAGACAAAAATGACAGGATGTTTTTAGGAGGTGCATCAAAAGGAGGAAAATCACTAGTGTCACATTGCTATTCCGTTTGGTTAACGCAGGTTCTGGCACTAAATTCTGCCCAGTGGGAAAGCTGTGTAGAAATACATAACGCAGTGGGGCAATTTTGGGAGGTATTTATTGAAATCAGAAAAAAACCCAAACAAAATGGTTAACCAAAAGAAGAATTGACATACATTTATTGAAATCAGAAAAAAACCCAAACAAACCCAAACAAAATGGTTAACAAAAAGGAGAATTGACATATGGTATACTTACAATCTACATGTCTGTCTGGTCACTACTTAGTCACTGCTGGGGTAGGTTATGACTTTGGGAATCCACTTTATAGGCCAGTATTTGAAACAGGGATGACTTTTGTGACTAGCTGTGCTATTCCGTTTGGTTAACGCAGGTTCTGGCACTAAATTCTGCCCAGTGGGAAAGCTGTGTAGAAATACATAACGCAGTGGGGCAATTTTGGGAGGTATTTATTGAAATCAGAAAAAAACCCAAACAAAATGGTTAACCAAAAGAAGAATTGACATACAGTATACTTACAATCTACATGTCTGTCTGGTCACTACTTAGTCACTGCTGGGGTAGGTTATGACTTTGGGAATCCACTTTGTAGGCCAGTATTTGAAAGAGGGATGACTTTTGTGACTGTAGCTCTAGGCATTCCTGTCTCCAGTGGCTGCTCTTTTAAGCAGAGAAAGACCTTTATACTTTGATCTTGCCAGGTATCAGCCCCCTTGTGATTTTTTTTAAAAGAAATTAGGAGGTTTTATAAACACTGGTATAAAGTGAGCAAATCTAGGGATGTTGCTTTTTGACCTTGCACTCAAAGAACACGGGCACAGAAAAGGATCAGGTGAAGGAACCTGGCTGCCGTTGACTTTGCAGGATTGGACTTTCTGCTTTTCCTGTTTGTAAGCTTGCACTTCTTGTCCTAACACTGTAGAGTCTTCCAAGTAGTAGCAGACTGTTGTCTGTGTGCGTGTTGAATTGACTTTATCTGACTGTTGCCTGCACACAGAGATGCTGAGGGTGCTGATGCTCTTGCACTTGTCCTGTTTTGCAGAAGGCATGAGCTGCATGAATAAAGATCATGGCTGTGCCCACATCTGCAGAGAAACACCCAAAGGAGGAGTTGCCTGTGAATGCCGACCAGGATTTGAACTGTCCAAGAACCAGAGGAGCTGCATTTGTATGCAACATTCTGCATATGCTTATGGTTTCCCAAAGTGAACAAATAGTGTTCTGTTTGCAGTGATGTGGGATTTGGTATGTTATAGCTAAACTGGGATGACATGCCTAAATTGTGTGCATTTAAATTAGACTAGAATCAATGGCTTTGCTGGACACTATCACGTCAGTCTGTTGGTTGCTGCAGTATCTGTAGTTTGGGAGTTGCGGTGTCATTTATAATGACATGAAGCTCAACTCCACAAGAGAGCTCTGCAGTGTTTCTGTGTCACACCGTTCTTCAGGAAAGGGACACGTTAGGAAGGTGTATTGAATGGTTAAATGGAAACAGAATTGCACGCTGTCTTGCAATGATACTGGAAGTACACATGAGGCTTAACATGTGTTTTCTTCCTAGTAACGTGTAATCACGGAAATGGTGGCTGTCAACATACGTGTGATGATGCTGATAACGGGCCAATTTGTGGATGTCACCCCAAGTACATCATGCATGTGGATGGGAAGACCTGTCTGGGTCAGTATACAGTGGAGGGAAGTAGTTTTCTGTTGATCATAGAATCATAGAATCGTCTACCCTACTCTACAAAGTCATCCCCTACACCATGTCCCTCAGCACTGCATCTAAACGGCCCTTAAACACAGCCAGGGATGGTGACTCCACCCCCTCCCTGGGCAGCCTGTTCCAATGCCCCATCACTCTTTTGGTGAAAAATTCTTTCCTAATGTTCAATCTAAACCTACCCTGTTGGAGCTTGAAGCCGTTCCCTCTCGTTCTGTCACTAATTACCTGTGAGAAGAGACCAGCACCAACCTCTCCACAGTGTCCTTTCATGAAGTTGTAGAGAGTGATGAGGTCTCCCCTCAGCCTCCTCTTCCTCACACTAAACAGTCCCAGCTCCCTCAGCCGCTCCTCATACGATTTGTTTTCCAGCCCCCTCACCAGCTTCGTTGCCCTCCTCTGCACTCGCTCCAGCACCTCGAGATCTCTCTTGGATTGAGGTGCCCAAAACTGGACACAACACTCGAGGTGTGGCCTCCCCAGTGCTGAGTACAGGGGCACAATCACCTCCCTACTTCTGCTGGTCACACTATTTTTGATACAAGCCAGGATGCCATTGGCTTTCTTGCCCCCCTGGGCACACGGCCGGCTCATATTCAGCCGTTTGTCAACTAGAACCCCCAGGTCTCTTTCCTCCAGGCAGCTCCAGCCACACTTCCCTGAGCCTGTACCACTGCATGGGGTTATTGTGGCCCACTCCAGAGTGGTGTGGCATTGCTGTCTATGCGTGAATAATTCTCCTCACAATAGCATGGCTAGAAAATGTCAAGGAATCCAAAACTAAGAAACCTGCTAGTGCATGAGTGAGTTTTGTCAGGCAACTTATGCTTCCCTGTGTCAGTAGCTACCAAATACTGCTGCAGCCTGTAATTATCACTGGTCCCTCTGAAGCACAAACTCTGTCGCTAACCAAAGAAGATTCCCTTCCCTCCAGGATATTTTAGGTTCAGTTTCTTGGATAGCATGAGCCAGGGAGTGTAACTAAGCAGTATGTCTGTTAAAACCAGATTGAGGTGCCCAAAACTGGACACAACACTCGAGGTGTGGCCTCACCAGTGCTGAGTACAGGGGCACAATCACCTCCCTACTTCTGCTGGTCACACTATTTTTGATACAAGCCAGGATGCCATTGGCTTTCTTGCCCCCCTGGGCACACGCCGGCTCATATTCAGCCGTTTGTCAACTAGAACCCCCAGGTCTCTTTCTTCCAGGCAGCTCCAGCCACACTTCCCCCAGCCTGTACCACTGCATGGGGTTATTGTGGCCCACTCCAGAGTGGTGTGGCATTGCTGTCTATGCGTGAATAATTCTCCTCATAATAGCATGGCTAGAAAACGTCAAGGAATCCAAAACTAAGAAACCTGCATGAGTGAGTTTTGTCAGGCAACTTATGCTTCCCTCTGTAAGTAGCTAACAAATACTACTGCAGCCTGCAATTATCACTGGTCCCTCTGAAGCACAAACTTTGTCGCTAACCAAAGAAGATTCCCTTCCCTCCAGGATATTTTAGGTTCAGTTTCTTGGATAGCATGAGCCAGGGAGTGTAACTAAGCAGTATGTCTGTTAAAACCAGAACTCTGAATTCAATTAAAGTACAATTTTGGCAAGGCAGTTATCCAGTAAAGAAAGCACTTAAGATTTATAAACTCTTCCAGTGTCTGGAAGAGTTTGTTGTCTCTTGATTGAAATCAAATGCTGAGGCATAACTGGCTGGTCCTTGGATTAGTCTATGATAGATGATGATAGTGTGCTCTTAACAGAGTATTTCATGACAGTTCAATTAGTTCTTTCATCTTGCTGCCGTTCACCACATCTGTAGCATACTTTCTGTTTTGTCAAGAGTACTAAAGCAAACTTGAGTTATAAGGAAGCAAGAAAAGCAAAGTATTTTTATGGTTTTGACTGAAGGGTCTTCATGGGGATTTTTTTTTTATTACTTTTTTTAAAAAAAATATTTCTACATAGTCAGTTCCGACTGTCTCTGATAATGCAGCACACGACGCAGCTGTTTGCGTGCGTGTACGTGTTGGATATCAGAGGAGGTTTCTGGTCAGGGCACCTTTGCTTACTTGCTTTTTTTATGTTCCTGGCAGAGAGGGAAGAGGCTGCTGTTGACGTGTCTGAGGGGAACGCTACAGCAGGAGCTGATGTGGACAAGAGGGTGAAGCGACGGTTGCTCATGGGTAAAAGTGCTCATCCAAAATAATTTTGCTGAAACCTTTTAGATTGAAGAATTGTTTTTTTAATGTAACCGTTGTAGCTCTGGGCTGAGTTCTGCCCGAGGTGCTCTACTTCCTTTTATGGAAATAATATTATTCTGTAATGTATATGAAACTATATACACTTCCTTTTATGGAAATAATATTATTCTGTATTGTATATGAAACTATATACACTGTTTGTGATGGTCAGTTGTTTGTGATGGTCAGTAGGAGGTGTTGGGAACTTGCCCTTGAAAGGAGCATATGTTTCTAGGGTTCTAATTCATCATGGGAATGCAGTACAGTCCCTTCTGTGCTACAGCTTTAGCCAAGTGATTGTGGAGGAAGCAGTGTTTTATCTGCTTCTCTTCAATTGAAAGATACTTCTGCATGGAAGAGCGTTGGAACCAGTGGTGGATTGCATCTAGAAGGGCACGTTAGGGTACAAGGCCATCTTCTTCCTAAAGGTGTTTACATCTGGCCCAGAATGCCAGCCTCTGAGGGTTTGTCACTACTGGGAAGGCACTGGCATGAGAAACAATCACTGTGGTCTCAGGGCAGCTGGGTCTGTGGATGTTCAGCTCTCAAAAGCCCTTACTCCAGGCAGTCAGGGTAATTTACTGTGTTAATTGGCTTTTGCCACAGAAGTGGCATGGAGCATGGAGGCTGAGGAAGAAACCACCAAAAGTATAGGGCTAGCTCTGAGCTCCCGAACCCATATTTAGGCTAATAAATGAATAGCCTCATTTTCAAAAAATGACATTTCTGTGGAAAGAGGAAGAAAGAAGAGGCACTCTGTCTTCACATAGAAGTTGGATACAGCCTCCCGATATTGAGTGTGAGATGAGAGACTGGGAGGGAATAAACCAGTAAAGGTCTCAAAACTTGAGAATAAGTAGCATATGCTTGGTGCTTGGTGCTGCAGAAAACTAGGAGACAGAGATGGAAAGAGAGGAGTTCAAAAAGCAGACTTAGAAAATGATTTTTGCAGCTCTCTGAATTAATATATGCTGGATAAAATTGCATTTGCCCAGCCAGAGAAAGGGTTATGAGACTGACTGAGGCGGTTACACCGACTACAAGAGGATGAATGCCAAAGAGTGAGTTATTTCTATTCAGTTGGATGCAAAAAACTGTATTCCAGGGGTGTTCACTAGAAAGCTTTGGTGAGATTTAGATGTAGTTTGCATAGGGGGAAGGTAGAGGAGTATTAGGTTGAGATGGCACCTGGGTCACAAGCCTGCAGGAATGCTCAGTGTGGGTATAATCCACCATGACTGGGAGCACAGGTAGCACGTGAAGGTGTGTTGGATGGGATTTAAGAAACCTGGTTTAATTGTGCTGAGTGTAACCAGGTGTCTGAGCATTGTTGGGAAGTGTCAGAGGATCAGACAGGATTGAGTGTGGGCATAAGGAGACAGACTGACAGAAACAGATTCAACACCAAGGAGTGGGGATTTGTGTTTAAGGATGAGAATGTCCAGAGACAATATCTTAGTTTGTAGAGTCTCCACAAAAACATGGACATAGCTGAGGCAGGGATTTTGCCAACACATGCATTGAGTAGTTGTTCATGTGTACTAGGCTAAATGTGGTTGAGTAGCAGTGTGCTTGGAGCCATGCCTCGTATCACATGATGTTTTTTCTTACTCTTATAATATCCCTGAGCAAACTTCAGCTTTATCTCGTTGGCTAGAAACGTGTGCAGTAAATAATGGTGGCTGTGATCGTACGTGTAAAGATACATCGACGGGAGTTCACTGCAGCTGTCCTGTTGGATTCACCCTCCAATTTGATGGGAAGACATGTAAAGGTGATTTATTATTATTATTTTTTTTTATCCCCCGCTCATAGACACGTGTACTAGCACCTCGCTGTAAGGTATTCATCTCCAAATGAAGGTAATCCAGTGTCCAGAGGAAAGCCAGTATGAGTAACCAGACCTAAAAAAGGACCACAGCTAGGGGTAGATGCACGGTTTCTGCCACATCAGGTGCATCGTGTGAAGAGAATCTCTGCTGCTCTGCCCTCCCCCTCTCTATTTCCACCCCTCCTGCCAGGATGGCCTCATTTTTCACAGAGGAGGTTTGATAGGAGGTGATACAGATCTGCAGTAAGGTAGAGATCAGTGCTGGGAGAGGTAGGTGTGTAGGTTCTTACGGGCATATAGTCCAACAGTCTGCTATTTTATGCACGGTCAGCTGGGCATTAGAGCAGTTTGTAAGTAAATATCAATGTGTAAACAGGGATATGTGACTAGAATTACTTATACTGGTCGAAGCAGCTCTAATGAGAGTACTGAAAAGGAGCGAAGAGACGTTTAGGTTGTATGTTAGAATACATTTTCCAGTAATCAGATATTAAGACTTTCCTGCTAAGCAAAAATGATGGAATCCTCCTGCCCGAGTCAATTCATATTAGATAAAGAACTCATTCTAATATTTGCATGAAAAGGACAGGGTAGCTCAGGCAGTCTCCTCTGTCTGAGACTTCTGCAGGGTGTAGAAGAGGAAATGGAGAGAATGTTTAAAAAGCTAAAGTTTGTTACAGAGCATATAAGTCAAAGTGTTTGCAAACAGAAATTAGGGAAATGGTTCTTTTGTGAATATATGTACCCAAAAGTAACCAACAGCAATATGTTAAATGAAAACAAATGACACTGTCACGGGGCTGAATGGGCCAGATTCTTAAGAGCTGGATCTGATCTTCCTTAAAATTTGTAGTAGTCTCGCTAGATTTTGTTTCTGGGCTTCTCTAACCAATTGGACGTGACTGTTTTCCTGGATCTGGCAGTGGAAGGATGTTGAACGTACTGTGTTTATTTGCTCAAGAATTTTTCTTGCTTACAGATATTGACGAATGCCAGTCCAATAATGGAGGCTGTGATCATTTCTGTAAAAACACTGTTGGCAGTTTTGATTGCAGCTGCAGAAAAGGATTTAAATTATTAACAGATGAGAAGTCTTGTCAAGGTATGTGCACTGGAGAGACAGTAGAAGTAGAACAAATCAGCGTGGCTTGGACATCTACTACAATGATGAAGTGATAATGGACTCCAGAATAATTTCCATGCCTCAGTTTTGGTTTTTTTTTTCTTTCTGAAACAGCTGTTGAGTTAATACAGTTGGTTTGATACTATTCTAGGAGGGATGTTTAATGGCACAGTGAACTATTATCTGGAAGCGACAGAGATAGCATCATATTAGAAAGTTCTTTAGAGGATGATGCTTTCCCCCACTTATTAATGATCTTAAAATAATTTACTGGGAAAAATACACAATATCTCTCTGTCCATCTTACTGGCTAGTTAACCGTCATAGCGAAATTATTTTTTCATAATGGGACATTTAGATGCCATGAGTTCATTATTTAAAGCAAAAGAGATGTAAGCTGTGATCTATGAAATTATAGGCCTACAGACAGACATTCCCTAAAACATCATAGAGTATTTGATTTTTAGGATAGCAGGGATTTCTCCTGTGAGACTTACAAAGCATATTTGCTTTTCTGTATAATAGTTTGTACATATAGTTAACGAATCTGTTTAAGCTGATTAAATACATTTAAAAACGTAAAGATCAAAATGGTCTGTGTTTTTGGAAAAGCTACAGTATGAAACAATGTAAAGTCAATCAGCCAGCTGGGGGGGCAAATAATTCAATTTCCTAGACATCCAGCTGACATTAATGATGAATTTCAGAAAGCTGAACTGACCAACAGAAAATAATTTTCACGTAGGTTATCCTTTTAAAATCAGACAAAGAAGGACAACTATTTATACGGCACAAAGTTACTATAAAAACATAAGATTTTCAAAGTAGTTTGTTGGGGTTTTTAATGGAATCTGTTTATGAATGTGTTTTAAAGATTTGAAACTCCCTTCTGTTACTTTCCCTAAATTGTTTCAAAAGTGGTACCTTGACGCATGCCAAAGCCCAAGAAAAAAGAATAATGTAATGTGTCAGTGATGCTGATGTGAATTTTTTTTCTATCTTGCAACATTCTTACATGGCATGTATAATGTCCTATCACACCACTTTTAGGTGCTTTTGATGTATAAAAAACATTAAAGTTACTATAAAAACATAAGATTTTCAAAGTAGTTTGTTGGGGTTTTTAATGGAATCTGTTTATGAATGTGTTTTAAAGATTTGAAACTCCCTTCTGTTACTTTCCCTAAATTGTTTCAAAAGTGGTACCTTGACGCATGCCAAAGTCCAAGAAAAAAGAATAATGTAATGTGTCAGTGATGCTGATGTGATTTTTTTTATATCTTGCAACATTCTTACATGGCATGTATAATGTCCTATCACACCACTTTTAGGTGCTTTTGATGTATAAAAAACATTCATGGTCTTAGAAAGTGGTGGGTATTTACCATTTTACCATTCACTGAGATCATGATGAGGCTACTTTACTAACTACGCTTTACAAAGAAGATGTGGGAAAAGTTACTGTAATGCCAAGGAAAGCTTTCACTGGAAAAAAACCCTAGATATCTCAGCAGCTTTTAAAGACAGACCTTGAAGTCTAAATATACAGTATAATGGATCCATGGAAAAATTCACCAAATTGCTCCAGTCATCTGTCTTCAGGTGTATCTCAGAGAACATGGTGATTTTCAGCAGACTTAAATCAGGGGCTGCATATTGATATACATTTTAAAATGTGGCCTTTGCTTTCATTTATGGGAAAACCCAAAGAAAATGCTTCCTTTTGTAAATCTATTTCTGCAGTCCTTATATGTAGGCTTTTCTTAAAGAAATAAAAGTTTTGGCAGCACTTTTTTCTCCTATAGAAGAGGTATATTTTAAACATAATTGTTAAAAATGCAGCAGCAGAAAAAGCTTGTTTGGCAAACTAATTGTTCTCTTAAAAGTTGTCATTTCATTGTTACATTATTTACTTTAAAAGGCTTTTCCTTTGCTTACATAAAGTTGGACGCAGCGATGTGCTGATTTGTTAGCTCATCAGTGCTGCCTTGTCGGGCTGAGAGATGCTGATGTGTCCCTTTAAAACTTGCAGACATTGATGAATGCTCCTTCGAACGGACGTGTGACCACAAGTGCATCAATCACCCGGGCACCTTTGAGTGTACTTGTAACAAAGGATACGCTCTCTATGGCTTCACACATTGTGGAGGTGAGTTACAAAAAGGCCATGCAGATAGAATGCAGTTGCAACAGATCTAATTAGTCTCCGTGCAAGACACAAGTCTATGTGTATGCAGTAGGCATGTAATTTTTACTTTTTGCCCTGATAAGGAGACACAGTTTCTGTCTTGGCTCAGATGATTTTCCCTTCCCACCCTGCATCCAGAAAATATCTGTGACTATTAGAACAAACCGATGTGCTTTGCACCTGGACATGAAAGCCATAATTTGATAGATTCTTCGCATGCAGAAGTCTCTTTGACTTCAATGAAAAGTCAGTGGAATAGGCCTTAAAGAACAGGAAGCTCCGATGACTTAGAAAATTGTGGTTTTGCAGGTCGCCCTTGTGAGTGTGTCAGATCTTTATGTGAGGTAGATTGGAATTTAACTGATGTAGTACCACTGATTTACATTGGCCAAGATGAATACTCATAAATCTTTTATATCTTTCCTACAAGAAAGGTTCAAGTAAAGAAAGGAAGATGTTCACAGAACCTCAATATATGTCAAGTATGAATATTTTTGCGGCTCCGATGACTTAGAAAATTGTGGTTTTGCAGGTCGCCCTTGTGAGTGTGTCAGATCTTTATGTGAGGTAGATTGGAATGTAACTGATGTAGTACCACTGATTTACATTGGCCAAGATGAATACTCATAAATCTTTTATATCTTTCCTACAAGAAAGGTTCAAGGAAAGAAAGAAAGATGTTCACAGAACCTCCGTGTATGTCAAGTATGAATATTTTTGCAACAAATTCCCGGAATTAACAGGAGGAAACATGAATAATTGGACACTGAATGGAATTAAACCTATTTTATATAAGCTCTAGGCAACAGCTTACTAAATCTATGTGCTTACTTAATTCTGAGTAAGACCTATTTATTTCTGAGGCTGAATGAGCACACTTGAACTTGGAGATAACAATTCAGAGATCTCTGTGTGCCTGATCTCTTCTAACCTCTGCCTCTAGAAAGTCTGCGAAGAAGATTACAGGCTATTTACTTTGTGTTTTATCCTGATGAACAGGGAAACCTGTTTAGATTGGGAGTAACACTGTTCATGTATTCTGCTTGTTAAAAGAAGTCTGTCCTCATTAATTCCTCTCTATTATTTCCATTTCTTTTGGCCACCAATGAGGGAAAGGAGTAATTTTGCTGTTGGCTGCTAATTATCCTCTTCATACTCCTGTGCAGAAGATGTTAATCCTTGTATCATAGTAAGTCCTTCAATTACTGCCAATCACAGGTTGTGTCAAAGCTGGTAGGGCTACTGAGTACACACCTTCTGCCCTGGAAGAAGTAGACCTATGGAACAAGTAAATAAGTGTTAGAGGTTAGGTTGCCATTGTATGCAGTGTCCTAATAAAAGGTCAGTAAAAACCAAAGATTTGGGCTGGTTTTATGATATCTTGGGCAGCAGTACCAATTTGAGGTGTTCCCTTCTTTCTCCATTATTCCTCTGCTGCTCCTCAGCTGTCTCAGTTCTGATGAGCATGTTTCTCCCCTGAAATCAGCTCAGTTTTTTAATCTATTTTTTGACAGTGTTTTCTACCAAATGGTTACCTGTCTAGAGGGGGGAACAAATGATTGGGGAGAGCTGTGATAAGAACTTGTTCTTACCATTGAGAAAAGCATATGTAGAAGTGGGTACCCTCAGTTGTACAAGCTTTCTGGGACTCACAAGAGATTTCTTGACAGCAGCTTTCTAGGTTTATGTATAATTGCCATAAAGCTACTGGAGTCAAGTGAAGCAGTCACCAGGGTGGATCTAAGAAGCAGGATACAGAACTTTGCATTTCCCTTTGTTGAAATTCATGAGATTCCCATCGGCCCATTTCTCGAGCCACTCGGGGTCCCTCTGAATAGTGACACAACCATCTGGCATATCAGCCACTCCTCCCAGTTTTGTGTCATCTGTGAACTTGCTGAGGGTGAACTCTTGTGCCATCATCCAGGTTTAATGAAAGGGATAAATAGTATTGGCCCCAGTATTGACCCCTGGGATACACCACTGGTGAATGGCATATTCTGCATCAGCAAGCAAGTTTGCACCAAAGGCAGTATGTTGTGTTGTCAGTAGTTTCTCCTCCTATTGGCATTTTTGGGGCGGGGTAAGGCCCCAAAATTGGATAATTGTCCAAAAGGAACAATAGTGCTCTTTGCCTACATGGAGTCCAATAGTGTTCCACTATTGTGGATACAGCAGCAGTTGTATCTATTTGACCATTTTGGAAGATTGATTGGTATGAATCCTGTCCATGTCATCTGTTTTTGTTTCAAATTAAAAATACTAATTAACCAGACACAGTGCAATGCAGACTGGATTGGGTCTCCTTTTCTTTGAGTTAATTTGTTATCATACTGCTGAGCCTCGATATGTTTTTAGTTATGTGGTTTAAGGACATACTTAACATCTCCCCTCCGACAATATTTGATCTATTTTGGCATTTATCAAAGGTTTTCCATGAAAACAGAACTGTTTCAAGGTGGGTGTGCAGATAGCATTCCTAAAATCTTTTCCAAACTCTATTAAGCAGTATTTGTGTATGTGTTTACCTGGTGGAGTTCCGGTACAGAACTTTGGTGAGAGTAACTTTTTGAAAGTATTTTTACCTTTACTCTGCAGATATTAATGAATGTAGCGTCAACAATGGTGGTTGCCAACAGCTGTGTGTGAACACACCGGGAGACTACGAATGCCTGTGTCACTCTAACTACAAATTACACTGGAATAAAAAGGATTGTGTTGGTAAGGTGCCTAGTAAATACATTTCTGCTCCTGACGTGTCTGGCATCCACGTGATTATGGTCAAATCTGAAAATATTGATCTGTCCACTTAAGTGGTATGAGTCATCGTTCCCAGTATTCCACTTTAATTTTTAGCCAGGCACGATGGTACTGATGTTGAAACTGGTAAACACAAGCAAAAAAACCAACCCCAAAAACAGGAGATACTTTGAGGGATTTTGATGCTTTCTTTCCTGTGCTTTTACCTAGCTAATTTTTCTACTTCCTTTTTTTTCCCCGCATGAGAAGGTTTGCTGATGATAGCTTTACCTAGAAGGAAATTATTTAGGTTATGTGATCCTCCAGTGATTTTATTTTGCTTTCATTTTCTGTCTAAGCAGTGTGTGGATTGCACGGGTGCTCTCAGGTACCAGCTACAAAAGCAGCTGCATGCCAGTTTATTAGTAGGGTGTCTGTAGATGTTTTAATTCTCCTGTGAGTATTTGTTTTATCCTATTTAGAGATAAAGGGTCCCTTGCCTGATAACATGTCACCCAAGGTATTGCTGCACTGCATTAAGAGTGGTGGGAGCGATAGATGCTTCTTAAGCTGCTTTTCGGATGTCCAGGTATTTTCTGGTAAGTCCAAAACAATATAAACAAGTATATGATTCTGTAGAGAGTGTAAGACTAGCAAACCTTCTCACCCTCATGTAAACCTCAGGTAAGACTAGCAAACCTTCTCACCCTCATGGAAAACCCCCGAGAAGTAGGCAATCAACAGGGACCTTTCCTTTTTCACTGTAGATAAAGGGCTATATCCCTGCCAGCGTCCCAAGAAAAGCCCCCCTTTCCTTGTCTTTTTATAACCGCTCTACCCTCAGATTCTCTTCTCATGACAACTGTCTTTTTGAAGCTGGGGAGGACAGGGCAGAATTCTCCGTGCTCCCTGGGCCATCCCTTAATTGGCCCTGAGAGCTGCTGCTGAATGGGGCGAAGGCATTCCAGCCCTGCGTGGGGTCTGAGATTTTGCCCTCCACCCCGCAGGACACAGTGTGCAGGCTCAGCCAGGGCTTATGGGGCAGATGCTGCTTTTCTTCCAGCCCCTTAAATTGCTTAGGAAGAGACAAGCTCTAACGTGGAGTATTTTTTGAAAAAAGTGAAGGTGATGGTGCCGATCAATGAATTAAAAATGTCTTTTTTGTACTTCGGAAGTCTTTAGTCTCCGCAGAGTGCCTGTGTCTTTACTGTCTGTCTGTATGGTCTGTCTGTTAGGAACACAAGATGCCTACACCCTCACCTGTGGCAGGTCATCTCAGCTTAAGAAAAAGCAGCAAAATACAAATGCATCAAGCTGTCTGGGTAATCACTAGATTTACTGTTGCATGATTTGACTGATTTCTTTTAATAGATAACTGTGAAATAAGGGTGTTGCTGTTGACTTTCTATTTTCCTTCTCCATTATACTCCCTTCTGGTTTTCCTCCTCCTTCCTTGTGGTTGCAGTTCATGATTACAGCAGGAAATTCCCCTTGTACTGCTTTATCAGCATCACTCAAATTAAGACTTAAAAATAAGGAAGGAGAAAAAGATCAGTAGTGAAATAAACAGCTAGGCCAGGAGTGACATGCATCTTTCTACACATCCAAACTGGACAGTGTGAGCAACATATAATATGTTTAGGTTGAGCTGTTGGACAGTAACGTTTAGAAAATGTTTAAAGCTAAAGAGATAAGAGGTGCTATTTTATAATAGACATATACTACTTTCTGAACTGGTTTGGAGTATCTCCTTCGATTACAGTGAAACTTTATTTGATTTGCCCAATAGCAGCTCTGGATTTGATCATATTTTTTTTTCTCTTTAATTTAAATAAAATCTATCACACTTATTCCAATTCTAGTTGTGAACCAGCTTCACAGCAGCAGGAAGCTGGCATCTCTTTAGGTTTTCTGTGATGACTTCTTTTTCGCTTTATATCAGCATATTTTTTTATGTCATCATTATGATGTGACATTAGAGTTGTCTAAATTTTTTTATTCCTTTTTAAAAATAACATGTCATTGTTTCTTCCTGAAGATACTTCAGCCATCAAGATAAGCATAACCTTTAAATTAAATGAAGGAAAATGTAGTTTGAAAAAGACTGAGATGTTTCAAGAAGGTCTGGAACAGATGATACCAGGTATGAATATAAAAATGCAGGTAAGCAGTTTAGGGCCATAGCTCAGGGGTTATTAAGTGCTTTCCAGATATGAAGTACACCATAAGCAAAGCATAAAGGACTGCAAACTTTCTGCTTCCCTCTGCCCTTGTGAATCATAATCCTTCCCAGCCATGATTCTTGCAATGGTTATTTTGCATCACAGGGCTTCCCTGTGACATCCTTAGTCTTGCTAGGAAAGCCCTTCTCCTTTTTCATTTGTACCACTGGCAGTAAATTCTCAGTAAAATCAACCATACTTTTCATTCTTTTGATTTCTTCCTTTCCTTTCTTTTCCTGTCCCTTCTTTTGGTTCTTTCCTTTCTCACCTGCTCCTTGCTGTCTAATGCCTCAGCAAAGAGTCTCCTGGCCTTTTATGCTGACTCTACTGCCAAAGGGTTATTCCTCTTTTTTTTAATACTTCAGCAGCCCCAGATGGACACAGTGAGGTCAGCTCTTTCATCTGTTCCAAGGCAGAAAGCATAGTCTGGGAGTTTACAAAGTCAGCAGAAAATTAGGAGTAAATTTAAAAAAAAATAAAAAAATAAAAAAAAAGAAAAAAGAAAAAGGAGGTTGGGGAAGAAGTAACTAAACAATATGATGAATCAACAATCAACATGTCAGTTTGTTTGTCGTTAGAAGAGTAACAGTGAGAAACTGCACTAGATGCTCACTGAAGAGTTACACTCCAGAACCAAAGGTTATTCTGTGTGTTTAACTAAATCTTATTTCCCCATGGAGACCTTGAAAATGGTCTCCAAATGTCCTGTGTACGCAGCCACTACTGAATTTAAACCCCATGATAAGCTAACACGTTTTTCACATGCTTCATATGAGTGCAAAATTTTTCTGTCAAGTAGCCTGCCTGGTACGGGCAGCGTCATGGTTTTAAGATGCTTTGCATAGTGCAAAGGCAGCTCCTTAGAACCTGCCAGCAAGACCCAGGGGAAGCTGGTTGAGCTCTGCAACCAAGCTCACATCCCAGCAGACCCTCTGCAGGGGTAGAGTCCCAGCCCCATGGTACATCTGCAGGTGCACTGGGGTCTGTGATTCAGTTCGAGGGTGCACCAGTTGAGAAACTGGCCAAACTGTTTGTTTACCACCAAGTGGAGTTGATTTTTTTTCTCCCCTTTAACTCTTCGTGACAACCCATTGCCCTGAGCACTGGTGAATGTTCAATAACGTAGCTGGCCAAGCTTTCGCTTCCTTTAATTTTGTTCATACAGAGAGACATAATTCAGTAATGGAGAGCTTCCACTATGTAAACCTAACATGCAGCTCTGGCAAGAAAGTCCATGGAGACCTCAGTAGTCTGACAGCGACTAGAGAAATTTTTATCACTGCGGACTTTGAGCTTGAAACAAGCCGAAAGGAGGTAACAGGTTGGTTGGAAACATAATCCAAGGTGCGGTTCGAAGCTTCTTGCTGTTTGCTCCTTAATTTCTGTACTTTTCACTTCTATCTGTATGCAAAATGATGATAAAAAGTATCTCCTGTTTTGAAAATTAATTTTACTGCTTCAAAAAGAGTGAGGGATGGGGACAGTTTCGAAGATCAAAAAGCTGCCCATAGATTAAAGTCTCGTGGTCTGATTAATTTTCTTAAATCCTGGTGGTGTTGTCCTTAAGGATTTCAGACTTGTTCACAGCAGTTGCCTTCTCAGTGATTTGCATTGGTTGGTCTTTTGAATTGGGTGGATGTTTATGCCTGGTCACTTATAGCAGCTTTCACCCTTGGTACTTTTCAGACACCTGCGATGCGCGCTGTGCTCGGAAAAAGACTGAAAAGAGGTTCCGTAAAACCATTCGGACCTTACGGAAGACAGTCAGCAGGGACCAGTTCCGTGTCCGTGTCTCTGGCATGGACCACGAAGTGGCCAGAAAGTCTCTCAAGCTATCAGAGCCCCAGCAGTCTTGTGGTGTAGGACAGATGCATGTTGGTAACAGATGTGGTAAGTAAATATAAATCAGGAACAAACCACCACGTGTGTTTTACTGTTTTGCTCAAGTCTGGGGAGCTTGGTGGGATCGTGGGATGCTTGTCCAGGAAAGAGGAGGGCTGTGTGTGAAGAAGTAGGGGTTACTGTTTGTGCTACTGAGATGTGCCCTTCTGTGTATTTATTATTGGCAATTGCTGTATTATTGAATAAGGGCTCAGTGCATTGCACTTTGTTATAGTTGATGCACAGCCGACAGTAAGCTCAAAGGTAAAAAAAACATGCAAGTAACCTCAGGCACCAATGGCCTTAACATCAGGAGTGTTATTTTTAAGACTATGTTTAATATCCAGTGTAACATTGTGTTTCTGCACTTGTGAACGTGTCATCTCTCCCTTGTTCCAAAGAAAAGATTTTCCTTTCTCACCTGCTCCTTGCTGTCTAATGCCTCAGCAAAGAGTCTCCTGGCCTTTTATGCTGACTCTACTGCCAAAGGGTTATTCCTCTTTTTTTTAATACTTCAGCAGCCCCAGATGGACACAGTGAGGTCAGCTCTTTCATCTGTTCCAAGGCAGAAAGCATAGTCTGGGAGTTTACAAAGTCAGCAGAAAATTAGGAGTAAATTTAAAAAAAAATAAAAAAATAAAAAAAAAGAAAAAAGAAAAAGGAGGTTGGGGAAGAAGTAACTAAACAATATGATGAATCAACAATCAACATGTCAGTTTGTTTGTCGTTAGAAGAGTAACAGTGAGAAACTGCACTAGATGCTCACTGAAGAGTTACACTCCAGAACCAAAGGTTATTCTGTGTGTTTAACTAAATCTTATTTCCCCATGGAGACCTTGAAAATGGTCTCCAAATGTCCTGTGTACGCAGCCACTACTGAATTTAAACCCCATGATAAGCTAACACGTTTTTCACATGCTTCATATGAGTGCAAAATTTTTCTGTCAAGTAGGCTGCCTGGTACGGGCAGCGTCATGGTTTTAAGATGCTTTGCATAGTGCAAAGGCAGCTCCTTAGAACCTGCCAGCAAGACCCAGGGGAAGCTGGTTGAGCTCTGCAACCAAGCTCACATCCCAGCAGACCCTCTGCAGGGGTAGAGTCCCAGCCCCATGGTACATCTGCAGGTGCACTGGGGTCTGTGATTCAGTTCGAGGGTGCACCAGTTGAGAAACTGGCCAAACTGTTTGTTTACCACCAAGTGGAGTTGATTTTTTTTCTCCCCTTTAACTCTTCGTGACAACCCATTGCCCTGAGCACTGGTGAATGTTCAATAACGTAGCTGGCCAAGCTTTCGCTTCCTTTAATTTTGTTCATACAGAGAGACATAATTCAGTAATGGAGAGCTTCCACTATGTAAACCTAACATGCAGCTCTGGCAAGAAAGTCCATGGAGACCTCAGTAGTCTGACAGCGGCTAGAGAAATTTTTATCACTGCGGACTTTGAGCTTGAAACAAGCCGAAAGGAGGTAACAGGTTGGTTGGAAACATAATCCAAGGTGCGGTTCGAAGCTTCTTGCTGTTTGCTCCTTAATTTCTGTACTTTTCACTTCTATCTGTATGCAAAATGATGATAAAAAGTATCTCCTGTTTTGAAAATTAATTTTACTGCTTCAAAAAGAGTGAGGGATGGGGACAGTTTCGAAGATCAAAAAGCTGCCCATAGATTAAAGTCTCGTGGTCTGATTAATTTTCTTAAATCCTGGTGGTGTTGTCCTTAAGGATTTCAGACTTGTTCACAGCAGTTGCCTTCTCAGTGATTTGCATTGGTTGGTCTTTTGAATTGGGTGGATTTTCATGCGCGGTCACTTATAGCAGCTTTCACCCTTGGTACTTTTCAGACACCTGCGATGCGCGCTGTGCTCGGAAAAAGACTGAGAAGAGGTTCCGTAAAACCATTCGGACCTTACGGAAGACAGTCAGCAGGGACCAGTTCCGTGTCCGTGTCTCTGGCATGGACCACGAAGTGGCCAGAAAGTCTCTCAAGCTATCAGAGCCCCAGCAGTCTTGTGGTGTAGGACAGATGCATGTTGGTAACAGATGTGGTAAGTAAATATAAATCAGGAACAAACCACCACGTGTGTTTTACTGTTTTGCTCAAGTCTGGGGAGCTTGGCGGGATCGTGGGATGCTTGTCCAGGAAAGAGGAGGGCTGTGTGTGAAGAAGTAGGGGTTACTGAGATGTATCCTTCTGTGTATTTATTGTTGGCAATTGCTGTGTTATTGAAAAAGGGCTCAGTGTGTTCTACTTTGTTATAGTTGATGCATACCCGACAGTAAGCTCAAAGGTAAAAAACATGCAAGTAAGGTCAGGCACCAATGGCCTTAACATCACGGGTGTTATTTTTAAGACTATGTTTAATATCCAGTGTAACGTTGTGTTTCTGCACTTGTGAACGTGTCATCTCTCCCTTGTTCCAAAGAAAAGATTGAGCAGAATTTGGTACAGTCACATTCTCTTTGCTGATTAAGCCCGAGTCCCAGAGAATCTTCATGACAGAGTTATAAATTCATGGAGAAATAGGGGTTTTATAGGACAGTACTGAGAAAAATCTTAGTTAATGAAATTTAACAAGGGCAAGTGTCGGGTGCTGCACCTGGGAAGAAATAACCCCCTGCACCAGTACAGGTTGGGGGCTGACCTGCTGGAGAGCAGCTCTGAGGAAAAAGACCTGGGAGTCCTGGTGGACAATAGGATGACCATGAGACAGCAATGTACCCTTGTGGCCAAGAAGGCCAATGGCATCCCAGGGTATGTCAAGAAGAATGTGGCCAGCAGGTCGAGGGAGGTCATCCTGCCCCTCTACTCTGCCCTGGTGAGACCCCATCTGAAGTACTGTGTCCGGATCTGGGCTCCCCAGTTCAAGAAGGACAGGGAACTGCTGGAGAGGGTACAGCAAAGGGCCTGGAACATGATTATGGGTCTGGAACATCTCTCTTACGAGGAGAGGCTGAGGGACTTGGGTATTTTTAGTCTTGAGAAGGGAAGACTTAGGGGGGATCTAATCAATGCTTACAAATACTTCAAGGGTGGGTGTCAGGAGGATGGGGCTGGTCTTTTTTTCAGTGGTGCCCAGTGACAGGACAAGAGGAAATGGGCACAAACTTGAGTATAAGAAGTTCCACCTAAATGTGAGGAGGAACTTATTTACTGTGAGAGTGGCAGAGCACTGGAACAAGCTGTCCAGAGAGGTGGTGGAATCTCCTTCTTTGGAGACTTTCAAAACCCACCTGGACAAGTTGCCGTGCAACCTGTTCTAGGTGGACCTGCTTTGGCTGGGGGAGGTTGGACTAGATGATCTCCAGAGGTCCCTTCCAACCCTATATGATTCTATGATTATCCTGGCACTGGAGTGCACCACCATAATGCAGCCCGTAATAAATGCTTCCAAAGCACAAAAGTTGAGGAGAGGGGTCATACGTTATTTTAACAGGGGCCTAATGATGACTATTTCAGGCTGCATAGGGTAGGCAGCATGTAGGTGGTTTTGTGAATCAGCAAGCCTTTTAAAATGCTTGTCAAATTTAATTAGTACATCTTCCAGTAGCAACCCATTTGGTCTCAGAATAGATTTTCCAATCTAGTTTTGCTAACTCTGGAAAAGCTTGGATTAATAGAATAGAAAAACTAATTGGTGTTGTTTAAAACAACTGTGCAAGTTAGCAGACTAGCAAATTACTCAGGAATTCTGCTGGAAAAAGCTGTATGTTTTCTTTTTTTTTTTTTCTTGGTAACGTTGTAGTAAGTCTGAAAAACTTTGGAAAGTTCACCAAGATGAGTCTACATGGATGTTTTCAAGCTGTTGTGTTGGATGCTGGAGGAAGGCTTTGAAAAACTGCCGCAGTACATTGTACAAAGTACAGTATGGCTTTCCAGATGAAATCACAAATGGCTTGAAAAAATAGCAGTGAGTGAGCTAAAAATACTTCAGGTAGAGAAGGAAATGTGAGTTACAATTAGCAATGGAACAACAAAGAAACAAGGTTCTTTTTAGGTAGTTGTAGAGCCAGTTTAATTTCTCATTACAAATGAGAAGCTTACGTGGCATTTTTGTGCTACTTCAGAAACAAGGGAGGCTTGTGGAGAATGGAAAACTCTTTGGTATGGTGAGCACAACTAGCCTGTCCGTGGTTCAAACAGACAGTGAGTATACGACTACAAATGTTTTGAAAAACAACTTGTAAAAAGTCAAGCCTCTTCTGTTGCTGAATTGGTGCCACAGTTTGCTCTGGACACCTGAACAGGTCCTGCTGTGAGCAGTGAACTAGTAATGTCTGATTCCCTGTGAGTCTCATGCCTTATGATGCCATTTGTGCGTGCCTGAAAAGGTGGAATCACCAAATGAATCTTCCCTTCTTCAGCTGCAGCACTCGGACTGTATCCCTGTGTAAATTTGCTGTGATCAAACAGGAGATGGAACTTTCACCACAGCCTTTTTACTTGTGTGGAACGCTGTGAAGGTCTCTCTCCTCCGCTTTCACATTCCCCATTTATTTACATTAAACGTACAGAAAGTTAGTGTCTTTGAAACCTCTCTGCACCCTTTGTGAAGCTGCTGGAAGTTGGACAGAAAGTTCACTGGTTGCTGAGGGGACATAAAAACGCACACAGAGGCGGTGTTGTTACACACGCCTCATTTCCTTAGAAAAAGCTGATTGTCCCAGTGTGCATGGTAAAGGCAGCACCGGGCAGCTTCTGTGACCGCCAGCCAGAAGGAGCTAGGAAATAAACTGGGGAGAAGAGAGTGGGGTGGGAATGGTGTGGAAGAAGGGGAAGAGGCTAGCTCAGGGATGTGCATGGGAGAGTCAGGGGTTTTTTTGTTTTGTTTTGATACAACTACGTGAAAGGACACTGTAGAGAGGTTGGTGCTGGTCTCTTCTCACAGGTAATTAGTGACAGAACGAGAGGGAACGGCTTCAAGCTCCAACAGGGTAGGTTTAGATTGAACATTAGGAAGGAATTTTTCACCAAAAGAGTGGTCGGGCATTGGAACAGGCTGCCCAGGGAGGGGGTGGAGTCACCATCCCTGGCTGTGTTTAAGGGCCGTTTAGATGCAGTGCTGAGGGACATGGTGTAGGGGAGGACTGTGTAGAGTAGGGGAGATGGTTGGACTCGATGATCCCAAGGGTCTCTTCCAACCTAGACGATTCTATGATTCTATTATAATTGATTTGCAGAGCTGCTGAGAACTTTGGGACAGGATTGGAGCCCTGCATATCTAGACACTCTAATGATTCTGGGGAGAAAGTGACCCTGTAGCAAGAGACACCAAGTCAGGAGATGGATTCAGTGCAGGTGGTGGCTGAGGTCTCTCTGAGGATGGGCAGAGAACTCTGGCAAAGGGATTTTGCTCAGCCTGACCAGAGGAGCAGGAAGTAGCGAGGGAACAAAGTCAAGGGACCTACAAATCTTCTGTAATTCAGACAGTGAGTGAAATGCAGGTTTCAGTTAATAGTTTTCAAATACATTTTTTTACAACAAAATGCTTGGAGTATGGGTGGGTTAGATACAGTTTTATTGATGCAGACAGTCTTATACTGATCCTGTTCCTGTGGTAGACTTCCAGCACAGCACTGTCTGAAACATTAGTTGTATCTGAGCAACGTAAGAGGAAAAGTCCAGGACCTGCTCTGCCAGCTTTTGTCTTTGGTAACTGGCCCGTGGTTGCAGCAGTAAGCTAAACTTCAGTTGGTTTTTTTGGTTTCACACTTTTGGTGAGGTGGTACTTTTCCCCATTTTCATGTCTGCCATCCGCAGTGGGGCACAGCACAAAATAAAAGCTCCAGAAAGGCACCAGGAAAAGATTAGATGTGATTTCCAAGATATTCAATAGTTTTTAATATGCTGAATTATTGCATGTGGATGTCTGCTTTTCTTAAAACAGCTGTTGGTGGTAAAAAGGAATTCACTGCTGATTTTGATGGGTAGTGTATTTTATTTCAAGTTTGCTGTTTAACTTACAGTTCTGTTTGGGATTTTCTGATGCTTTACAGGTTTGAATGTTGCATTTGTCTACCACATTATGTGTGAACTCTGTATTAATGAGTAAGCATATTTTGCATTGGCTCATGTTGATTAATTCTATGGAGTCCTGTAAACAGCTTCCAAGGATCAACCAGTGGTAGGTCTCTATTAACATGTAGCAAAATGGAACCCTCGTCAACCTTCCCAGAGTACTGGATTCTCATAGCAGGAGTGTGACCTTTCCCCACTGAAGTAAATCTTATGGCAAAAAGCATGTATATTTGAATGACAGTGCTTCAAGACTGAACGAACCATCTGAGGATGCTGGAAATGCTACACACTTCTTTGAGAGGAGAAGATTTGTCTTGGGGAGAATGCAGATTCATTCACTAACCTGGCTACAAATACTCACTCTCCAGTATGTACTAAGGTTTGGACAGATTTAACAGCCAAAGATCAATAATTTAAATACTAGAATTTCTTATTAGAAACTGGTTTACTAGAAGCCTTCACATTGAAAGGGAAGTAGTTGATATCTATTGGGACCATTTTGACCTCAAGTACTTTCCACTGAGGAAGAAACAACATGAAATTTAGCTGCTTTTTCCATTGCTTAAAATCCTGTCATACCTTGATCACATCTCGTGGACTTGAAAGTACACATTGCCTGTTCCATTTGGTATTTTTTGGTGTTGGATACACAAATACTTCAAGAGATGGAAAGAGGCAATGAAAGTATCATTCTGTGAAACTGTAAGAGGACATGTGAGCATGCCCTTGCTGCGTGGTAGTCACAGGTGGATTCACCCAAAAAGCTGTCATTTCAGAGAAGACAAGCATGAGCAGTGCTGGTATAGGCACTGCTCTGATGCAAATGCTGAGCAGCTTTATCTTACGTGGGAGGTGTTGATGCATTTCATTGCTCGGCATTCAGCAGTTTTGTCCCATTAATTTAGAGGATGCAAATAAAATATTTACATTCCATACAAAACTGAGGAACCACATCTCAAAGTTTAGATATGTGGTATGATACTGGCACTAAAAAAGTATGAGAGAGATATTTAAAGAGAAAAGCAAAGT